GCCTCCACTAGGGCTGAGAATGGACTGAGCGTAATCTACGAATATGTGGAGAGGTTGAAGAAAACCTTGTCAAAGGATATTATTTTCTATGGCGCTGAAAACGATGAACGACTAACGGGGAGGCACGAGTCTTCAAGGCCAAACGAGGTGACCGCCGGAGTTGGTACGAGGCATACCTCGATTCGTATTCCCAACGCTGTTGCCGCAGAGCAGAAAGGATACATGGAGGATCGGCGACCTGCTGGCGATGCAGATCCTTATCTTGTTTCGTCGAGGCTGTTTTCGTCTTGTGTTGCGCTGGAGGCCCCGGAGTTGGATTTGATGTCATCACTCCATGAGAGAGCGTGGATGAGGTTTGATAATTTGTCCCAAAATTGAGAAGCAAATATGGGGTTAATATGAATGCGAGGTTAGCGAGTTTTGGCAATTCCAAACTCCTCGTTTTATTGGTAGTTTTCTAAATTGCACGCCCAAAGTAGAGCCTGTTGACTGCTATTTTTTTATTTTTATTTTTTAAATGACTTTCTCTGGGTAATCCTCGCCAGCATAGTGCTCCCAATAAGCAAGGCTGATGATCGAAAGTTAAATTGAATCGGACGTTTATTTACTACACGACGCAAGAATTCAATGCTTTGAAATAATTCATGGGCTGCCGTGTCTTGTGGGGGGTGTATGTTCAAGTTGTGCGCATTGACGGGGGTTGCTCTTTTTTTTTTTTTTGTTGCCGAACATATTCTTTTGTGTATCGAAGTGTTAGCTTCAATGTGGGAAAATACTGAATGCTCCCCGGCCAACGGGGGTTTTGTGTTACCACAAACGGGTTTGCCACCAGCAGACGGGGCTGCGAGGGTCAAACGAAAGAGGAAGAAGAACGGGAAGAGGGCAGTTTATGACCAGTATCTTGCGGACTCTGGTAGTGAGTGCTCTACTGAATCAAGCGATGGTGTGGGCGAGTTTCTGGATGCGTACGAGTTGGAGGAGTTTGAGCCTGGCATGGACATTAATATTCTTATTCAGCAAACTGTGCAGAATGTCGCTCAGAGTGTCAGCTTGGAGGATTCTGACGGCCTGTCGCAGTTTGGTGATTACGAGTTGATATGCTTTGCCGCGGCGGTGAAGCATAACAACTCCATTCTTTCACTTCAGATAAGGTATCTTGACGTTTCCGACACGTCACTCGTGCCACTTTGTCGCGCGTTGGAGGGTCATCCCTGCATTAGGGCATTGGATCTATCTGGTACGCGAGGTGGAAACGCCACTATCAAGGCCGTGCTTCGTCTTGTCTGTACCAACCCAAATATTCTATTCGTGCGGTTGGACGACACAATGGTGGCTTCCCACGATGCTGGTGAAATAGAGCTTGCTACTCGATACAATGCACTAGCGTGTCCTGATCCAGCCAATAACCCGTTTCATTTAGGACTTTTGCGCAAGATTGGTGGTATGGAGGAGGAGAAGCAGAAGTACAAGGAACAGCTGGCTGCGCATTCCTGGTTGTTTTCGGATCATGGTGGTGGCAGTGCGAATCAGGCACCGAAGAAGGCGAAGAAGGTTCTGTTTGCCGAGAAAATAGCGCAGTCACGTATCGGTGCGGAAATCTGTGCGCAGTTCATGAGTGGTAGGTGTAGCTATGGCTCGCGTTGTCGGTATATTCATCCTGAGAAAACAACGGCAATTCAGAATGCCATAAGTGTAACTCAATGTAAAATGTCGAAGGAGTTGGAAGGAGATGCAAGATTTACAAAGGGCTCCGTCACTCTTCTTGGCTCTGGATCCAAAATGAGACTACAAAGCAGATTGCGTCCTGCCAAGTTTGCACTGAAAAAGGGTGCACTTGCTTCTGTGGTGGCTGAAACAAAAGATGCTGCTTCCACTAATGATGTGGATGACGTTCCTGTGCCAGAGGTTCCGTGCTGGCGCGCAGTGTGGGTGTTTTCTGCCACTGTTATGCTATGCAGTGTGATGGTGGCTGTGGCTTACTGATGGGATGGGAGAATGAAGGCATATTTTATACGTCCTATATACTTGGAGCTTGTGACTTGTGCTATGTTGTGTTGAACGGTGGTGGGACGGTGGGTATGGGACGTTTGCGTGTGCGTGTGTGTGTGGGCGTGCACGTGCAATACGTCTTTTTTATTTGTACTATCTATACCTTTACACAAATCACGGAATGATATTCCTTTTTAGGGGAGGGGAAGGTGAGTTTTGTTTAATCCCTTTGATGATTGTTCCTTAACTGCTTAACAACACTATGATTAGCCGCAATGATAGACTGCAACTGAACTACCAACCAACCAACCAACCAACCAACCAACCAACGAAACGGTTAAACCATAATACACGTCTATGAGAAAACATTTCTTTTCGACAACCGCCGATGTTTCTGAGTTACACCCTTAAGTAAAGCACAACGCCAATGAGCGGCGTTTCCTTTAAGTTATGCGGTTCCTCACCCACTCATGCTTGCGGTATTCCCACGCTGGATGTGCAAGGTGGGCGTCAATTAACAGCGACGTCAATGGATTTTCAGGAGAGGTGCATTTCCCCATCCTTTATACCGATACTGAAAGAGATGATTCCGCGGCACGATACAGCGTTGGGGTTAGGTGGCAGTTGGTTTTGGAACTGTTACTTGCATGCGCTTCAAGGAGAAGATATATTTCTGGACCTGAAAGGCACAGGAGTTAGTTTGTCAGAAGATTTGTTGGACGCGCAAGTGTTTCTGCGGCGCAAGTTAGCCTCTTTGGAGGCTGCGAAACAGTTTGCGGCTGCCACTGAACATTGTTGTGCAAAGGTTGAGGTCCTCTGCGCCCTGTGTCTTTCTGTTGTTCTGCATGTTTCACACCAGCCGATGCTAGAGCGTGAACAAGGGCCTCAGGCTTTGGTGCTGTGCGCCACAAAGGACCAGTGTGATGAATTGTACGTATTGCTTGATCGTTTTGGGACGGCTCTGCATTTGGTGACACACAACTTGTTTGGGGCGTACCCGCCCATGCCAAGCGAAAAAAGGGCGGACATCGTTGTGGGCACTGTGCCTCTCTGGGAGAGTGTGGCACAGTTGAGTCCACTTACCGTCCTTGATGGCCTTGAGGGAATTCTCTACCAGGTCTCACGCAATTCGTGGTGGACGGCGTCATCAACACGATGGCGGTCCTATTCGCTGGATTTTGTGACCCAACTTGTCTTTGTGGACCTGGACCTGCAGAATGCCTTGGGGTACGGACCAATGCTGCAGCGACTGTTTGCTGCACACAAAAGGTCAGTTGTAGCGGGGTTACGGCAGGTAAAGAACAAAACGACTCACGGAGGTAGAGAAGGTGGTGCCACCTCCAGTGGGCTTCCACAGCGATGCCAGGTGTATTGTCTGGTTGGTGGATGCAAGCAAGGAAAGGAACTTTTTGAGACACTACTGGTGTCGCGTGACAGGCGAGTGTATGGCACGGCTAGGCGGGAAATGGTGCGAATCGCCCTTAAGCAAGCGGTGCTACATGCAGACAGTAACGGCGAACGTGCCACGAGCGCTTCGCGCAAGCGTGGGCGCGATGAGCATGACGACGGCATTGTCGTTGAGGGGGAGTCTGTGCGGGAACACCCCCGATTGGTGGTGCACAACGCACTTTCGCACTCTCGGCTGATGCTTGATGTGACCGCCTTTGACGAATTTGCGGCAGAGACGAAGCGACGTGCCAATAGTTTTTGGTCAAGGTTTGAGGCAACCTCCGTTCTCACTGACAGCGAAAGCGGCACGAGGTCTGTTGTAGACGTGCAGTTGGCCTACGGATGCATGAGATTCGATCGGTGCGCTGCAAACAACGCGAGGACGTGGTTCGTGGCGGAAACAGTAGCTATCATCACTCCTGTAGGCGATGGGACCACACATCCGTCACGAACCGCGTTGCTGATGCGGCACCTGGAAGACGAACTATCCGGGCAGATCTTTGATGGAAGCGTTGTACAATGCTTCTTGCACCGCGGTGCGATGGAGCGTTTGGCAGCTGATGTCGTGATGTTGCATTCTGTATTTTCTGCCACGGCAAGATCCATCTCTCAGGAGCCACTATTTTTGCGCTTGGCCGCTGAGGAGGATGCGGCGGACGAGGAAGGAAGTTTGCCGGGAAACGCAGACACGGATCAGGACAATGTAGACACACGCACACGCCGCGCCCGTCTTCGTCAACATGCGCAAGAGTCATCGTCTGCGGTGAAGTGGACGTCCTCGTTTCCGTTGCATAAATTTCTTGCTCTGTCAGAGGTTCAGTCGCGGCGTACTGTTCTCGCCTTCCGTCAGATTGCCCCAAACATCTCGGTTTTTTGCGACATTCAGAACACCGCCAAGCCAACGGCGCTGCTTTACTTGGAAGAGTGCTGCCAGTACGGGAAGGTTGTCTCGTATTTTATATTTGAGCAGCGGCACGGTGGGAAGGAAGGGAAGGGCTGCGTGCATTTTTTTGTGGAGTTTGCAACACATGAAGCTGCAGCAGAGGCTGCACGGCAGTTTTTGCTGCGGTTCACAAGCGAGGGTAACGAGGCCGAAAACCACGTGCGTGTGAATCTCTTTCCCAATGAGTTGTATTATGAGGGAGTCGCAGTCGAAGTACAAAAACAACAGGGTGTAACAGGCGACGGATGCGCCATGCGTAATAATGATACTACTACTAATGAGGATGATGATGATGATGAGATGATGACTTTATGGGGGTTTCACTCCTTGGTGAGTAGAGATATGTTTGGGGCAGATGCTGCCATGCTACGGTGCACGTGGACGATATTGAGCGGGGCGACGCTGATGGTGTTGCGGTGCTGTGGCGATCTCTAGCGACATTGTTTATGAAGAGTAGCAGCGGATGTTAACTGTGGGTTTCCGTTGTGCTCCGCTAGGCCGCGCGGGTGGGCCGGAGAAGGCTGGCATTGCTTTTGCCCGCTCTCTCTTTTTCTCTTTTTCTCTCTGAGTGGCTCTCTGAGTCTTTACCGCGGTAGATTCCTCTGTATCTTTTACCACCAGCACTACTTGCGACAGCAAACGATGCGAAACGAGCCCCCCCCCCCCTCCCTCCCACGGAACAAGGTGTACGTTACAAGTCTATCTACAGCTGCGCGTACGCGATGAATGGTCAGGGGAGCGGATATTGTCTTAAATGTTTTTCCCTCAGTAGGACTGGAAGCCGCTTTGTTCGCAAGGTGCACATCCCATGCGTCGGACCGTTTCTTCTTGAGGACATAACTCGGCTTCTCTCCCCATTTTTTTTCTTTTTTTTCATTGCTACATCACTCGGAAACAAAAAAAAAGGTCAACCCGCTACAATGGTGTCGCTGAAGCTGCAGGCTCGTTTGGCGTCGGACATTCTCCGCTGCGGCCGCCACCGTGTGTGGCTGGACCCCAATGAGGCATCTGAGATCTCCAACGCGAACTCACGCAAGAGTGTGCGCAAGCTCATCAAGGACGGCCTGATCATCCGCAAGCCCGTCAAGGTGCACTCGCGCTCCCGCTGGCGCCACATGAAGGAGGCGAAGAGCATGGGCCGCCACGAAGGCGCTGGACGCCGCGAGGGTACCCGCGAAGCCCGCATGCCGAGCAAGGAGCTGTGGATGCGCCGCCTGCGCATTCTCCGCCGCTTGCTGCGCAAGTACCGCGAGGAGAAGAAAATTGACCGCCACATTTACCGCGAGCTGTACGTGAAGGCGAAGGGTAACGTGTTCCGCAACAAGCGCAACCTCATGGAGCACATCCACAAGGTGAAGAACGAGAAGAAGAAGGA